AAGAAGAAGAAGAAGAAGAAGAAGAAGAAGAAGAAGAAGAAGAAGACACAAGCTCTTGTCCCGGCGACCGTGTCTTCTTCTTATTCAATGGGCATATTGATCCGCCGGGTGTTTATCATGCACTGCGCAAACAAATCAAATCCTGGGCTTCGATTATCTTCTACAAAGTGCGCGCAAAATACGAACGCTTGTGCAGCTATCCTAGCAAATATAACTAATAAGGCTAATTTTCTCTAGCGCCTCGCTTCTCCGCCTTGAAGACGAGGATAGGTTGCCGTCTCAGACCTCCTCAATGTGCTCCTGTGGAGCGGGTTATATTGGATGAACAACAAAGCGCCTATCTCAGCGGATGCGAGAACACCATCCTGCCTGGCTATATCAAGGCGAGGAAAAGTTCCTTTCTAGCGCCATTGTGGCATACTTGGTTGACCCCGACCACCAGGTAGACGTCAGTCAAGCATTCCGTGCCGGCAAGACCCTGCAAGTCCCTACGTCAACGAATACTTGCGACAACGGAGGTAGTGCCCCTGGGACTAACGAATCCAGCCTTGTGCTCGCGGAAGGCCTTCATTAAAGCCCTCCTATTACCCTGGTCAGAGCTGGGCCATGAAAGTTCAGACCGCACCATGGCACGTCGCGCCACAGCGACAAAACCTAAGCACAACTCGATCAGACTATCCTATCTCTTCCTCCCGCCCCCCTTCTCTTACCACTGACAGAAACTGGACTATAATTGTCCCGCTACTCCACAAGTCTGCACACATTTACTCATGGTGATGACTACTGTTCACAAGTTGTTTTACTTCTAAAATTTCGTTGCTCTACCTAGACCCGTATTAATGTACTGGCCCGATGAAGAATAATCGAAAACGTACGTTCGCTGAATTGAACTGCCTGAATATAATTTACTTATGCGGCGGCCAAAAAATTAATGAAGGGTGCACACCACCTGCGGACTGATCTGCACCGGTTTTGGCGCACGACCAAAAGCCCCGGTGCCGGCATGTATGAAATGACATGAATTTTTATTCCACTGTTCAGTCTTGCAATCTCGCTAGCTTAAATTCCTTGCACCTTAGAACATGACTGAAGATTTGGATTAATGTTTGATAGATTTCGACGCTTGCCCGTATCTTTCGGTTCATTATTTCAATAACCATATAAATGTATACAGGCCCGTAGAGAATTTGTCGAAAGCAGACGTATGCTTGCCAAATTGTCTTTTGAAGGTCTATTGCTAGTGGGAAAACACACAAGCGGACCCGAACGCATCTAAATCCCGCAGAATATATACTGGGCAGTCTTTCGCTCTTGATGGACAACCCTGGTAGCGTCCCTTAAACAGCAGTAGTGTTCCTCCTAGGGTTGGACTAACTTATTTGTGGATAAGTTGCAATCAGATGCCGATCACTGGATCATTGAAAATGCATACTATAGCATTGTGCAATAATTTACCGTACTAACAACACAGGTATTAGCTAAAAGCCCAGACACGCGTGTTTCGCCGATCTTCTGCCGCTGCCTGACGCAGCTGCGAGGGGTTCGGCTCGTCAGTGGGTCCCCCAGCTTTCCCCGTGTGTTTTCTGGTATATGAACTCCAGTTTCAACTTGCCTTGCATAATTTCCGAGGAAATTAATGCACGAACTTGGAGTAACTCTTTCGAAACAGGCCTTTTCAGGCACGGTCCGAAATTTGATATGAATATTTGAGCTGAAATCCATCAGCTACTGCGGAATAACCGCTTAATATTCACAAACCGCCAACAGGCAGCCAGTAGTATAGCATTGTGCAATAATTTACCGTACTAACAACACAGGTATTAGCTAAATTAGGTAAATTATTGCACAATGCTATACTACTGGCTGCCTGTTGGTGGTTTGTGAATATTAAGCGGTTATTCCGCAGTAGCTGATGGATTTCAGCTCAAATATTCATATCAAATTTCGGACCGTGCCTGAAAAGGCCTGTTTCGAAAGAGTTACTCCAAGTTCGTGCATTAATTTCCTTGGAAATTATGCAAGGCAAATGCATCCTATACTCCACTACTCGTCCGCATGGGTAACTCCTTGATTTGGTCATCTTCTTCCGTGCGTCTCATGGCAAGTAACACTTCGAAGGGTATTACCGACGAAGACAAGGGAGACTGCTATGGCCATTTCGGGATTTTCAGTCGTCGTCAGCCAGTTATACTCAACCCCGAAGTGTGAAACATCTGGGGCTCGATCCCGCGACCTGCTAGTTAGAAGCCCAACGTCTCTAACCACTGAGCCACGGGCTCGTTGTCTTGTCGGTTGTGATCGGGAATATACAGTGGTAGAGGAGCGCTCACCGATCGTTCTTACGGAACTCACTCGTTCCCTTTTGCCTTACGGGCTCTCTCTCTCTCGGTAATACCACTCTGCGCCGCTGTGCGGCTGCTGGTTGGGCTCGAGAGAGACAGAGCCGTAAGGCACAGCGGGACGAATGAGTTCCGTAGAAACGGTCGGTGAGAGCCCCTCTGCCAAAGTAATACTTCCTTTATACCACACTTTCGTCCTTAAGGACAGAGGAAAGACTGCGTGCTGATCCAAGTAAAGATGGATCCGCTACGACGCCCAACTTTATCACTACGGTAACTAAGACAGTGAGGGGATATTCTCAGGCTGACTGCCTAACAGTCCTTTCGAGGTACCTTATTCAATACTGCGCCTCTCTCTCTCTCTCGTGACTTCGGGACATTCTTTCATCACATGATTCATGACACCTTTGCTGGGAGTAGTGTCCTAGCCCTCCAACGACTGCTTAGTCATGTCCGATGGAATTATAGGTCTGAACGACGTCGGTGTGGTACGGGCTTCCACACGCAAACACACACACAGTTTGTTCGTGCCCTGCCGGCTGCCATTAGGCGAACAATGTGCGCACACGAATATCGACTTTAATTCTACTGCTGCCGCCACCGCCGCCACCGCTGCTGTAACTGCTTCACGTGCAGCGCCCTGATTGGTCCAGCCGTGGAGATCATGCCAACTACACTCGCCTGGGGCGGTGGCTGATGGAGTAGCAGTAGTGGCTGACCTCTGTTTACCCGGCCTGCGCGCGCACGTGTGCACGCGCGCGATACTTCGCCGCCATCTTGTCGCTGCGCCAAAAATCGACTAAATTGAGACTTTGGTGATGGTGGTCAACACTGTAGTAGAAGGAATGGCGGCGTTGGTGGTGGGACGACGACGCCGATCAACGATGATGATGAGGATGGTGGT